GAGGAGACCAGGTGTGGGGTTGGGGAACTGCCAGGGTTGAGATCCGGTGGGTTGCCGCTGATTCGAGCCGCCACGACCGCGGCCACGTCCTCGTCCTCGGTTGCCGCCGTTAAAGCTCCGAGGGGAACTGCCGTAGCCACGTCCAGGGCCATTCTGCCGCTGCTGCCCGCCTCCTGCAGGATTCCCGCCGCTGCTCCCGGTGCTAAGGAGGGCCGTCGAAGAGTCGGCGTCGTGGGTGGCGTCGTTTTGCTGTTGTTCGACGAGCAAAAGAGCCGAACGGACCTCCATAAAAGTGGGGAACGGAGTTTGGTATTGAAGAAACGTAACCTGAGACCGGAAGTTTTGAGGCAAACCTTGGAGAACTTGTAGAACCAGTGCATGTTCCGTCACCGGGGCATCCACATCATCGAGATAATCGGCAAGATTTTTGAGGAGATGGCAATATTCGTTGATCGTTCGAGTCCCCTTGACAGTTGTCCGGAATCGGTGCTCCAACTGCATTGCACGAGCATGTTTATTATCATGAAACAACTTGTAGATCGCCGTTCATAGGGAGTGAGCCGTGGGGCTGTTGGCGAGAACTAGATCCGAAACTTCGTCAGTAACGGTGGAAAGGATCCACCCTTGGAGTAAGGCATCAAACTGGAGCCATTCAACGTCGTCGGAGGATGAGGCGACGTTGGTTCCGTCAAGAAATCCCATTAGGTTGAACCGGAGAACAAGAAGACGGAATAATTTGCTCCACTTTTTGTAATTTGGTTCGGAGATGCTTAGTTGAACCGGAATGTGGAGTTTGATATTGGAGATGGTGGTGAAGGCAAGGTGAGGAATTTTGGTTGGAGGAGTAGAATTTTTGTCGTCGGCCATGGTGTCGACGGTGGGGAGGTGCGGCTGTGAAAACGCCGAAAGAGAGGAGAGAGATGATCGGCAAGGAGAGGGCCGAAGATGGGAGAGAGCCGTGAACTAGAGAAGCTCTGATACCATGAAAGATTGAATAATTTCCAATAATTATAATGCGTATAATACAAGATATATATATATACTAGGAGATTCCTAGTTATGTTAGGAAACATATAATTAAGGTAACCTATACACATGGTAACTAGAATATACAATAATAACTACACAATATATTAAATATAGAAACACTATATTTACGAAGCCAATTGCTTTAGCGCCTCGGGTTTTCAAATTTGGGTATTTTCCAAACTTGTTTTGTTTTTAGGCAAGTTTAGGAAGCTCACCGAGCTATCAATGGAGGAGTATTTTAGAGGCTCGAGAGTTACTACATGGATCATGGTGGAGTTAGAAGGCGGATTAGGAATGGTTTCAATACGATGGTTAGAGAGTTAGGTTGGCTCGTTGATGGTGAAAATCGGTGTTTGATAACTCCAACACCAACCCAAGCGCCTAATCTTTGATTGGTAGATTTCTTGGATCCCATTGATGGTACGCACATGAAGGATATATTTGCTCCATACATGGTTGGATCCAGAAGATGTGTATTGGATTCTCCGAGTGCCGATTAACATTCATTGGTCATGACAGCAAGATTGATTAAGAATGAGGGACAACATGCGGAGAGGCTCAGTTAATGTTGGTCGAAGGCAACTTCATACTTAGGAGACGAGGCCATGAGTTTTAGATGTGTGTTGAAATTGGGAGATTTGTTTGTCGCCGCGACAAATGAGAGTTTGCATTGTCCTCAAAATGTGTTGTTTATAGGGGCACCAACATTTAAGGAAGCTCAGACTTAGGTGTGTGCACAAGGGATTTGTGAAATGAAGTGTTTCTCTAACTATCATACTCTAACTCTTGTTATTCATCAGGATTATTGTTTTGACTGCTCGCCTTCTTTTGGTATGATGCTTAAGGATTATCTTGTTATTTTATCTGCACTCTGTTTTGTGTTAATTTCTTTGTTCGTTGTAGTAAAAATGTTATACCTATGTAGGCGTGTTGTAATGCAGCCTGACTCTTGAGGGGGTTTGCCATTTGACTTTGTCAAATTTTAATGATTAATTAATGCAAATTTTGTTTTTGCTTCAAAAAATAAATTTATTCAAGGCACATAATTAATAAATACATGAGTAATGAAGGATGGCAGTGATAGCCAGGGACAATGAGTGACTAGTGACGGGGAGTAATGAAGGATGACAATAATGGCGAGGGACAATAAGTGGCTAGTGGTGGTGGCTAATAATTTAAGGGAATATCAAAGTCGAATTGATATCTCCCAAATGTAGAACATATCAAAACACTCTTATTTATAAGGGTATCAAATTCATATGTACACTCACCAAATACCCATAGTTTAATAAAAAGGTTCTAATATAAGAAAATAATCAAAAATTAAAAATCATAGCTCTCTCACTAACCAAAGTCTTTATATAGTTGAACATGCATGACCCATTCACTTAGAATCAGAGTGTCCAACCGCAAAAGAGTTGCATGTTTAGAGATAATGAAGTAAAAATAGACCAAAACTCCAAAAGAGTAATTTAGTGATCGATCATTATCAATACATCGACTCGTTTGTTTCAATTCAAGAACAGTTTAATTGATCAAAAAGCAAAAAAAATACTCCATGGGGGCTCTGTGTAGGTCCATGTTTTATTTAATTATGTAATTATGTTGACATTATTGCAACACGCTGACCCACCTCATGCCTTGAAACTCGGGACCAAGTTTGACACCACTAAATCACTAACGAGACCAAGTTCGACACCAACCTTATCTCACATATACACAATCTCACACACACGAACATGTCAAACTTGGTGTCATGGGTGGTGTCAGTGTAGTGTGATTCTTTAAAAAAACATATTAACAGCAGAAATGGATGAGGCATCCATTAATGACACGAGGGAGAAGAGGATTCAGTAGAATTCGCGATCAGGGAAGAGGATAGGGGCCACAAGGGACCAAATGTAGAGTGCGGCGGTTACCCATTCAGTGCAAATACGGACCCAAACCGAAGTCCAACCAACATCTATAAGTTGATAGCTTTCAGAACTGCTTGTCCACCCGGACAGCAGCATGGCAGAATACATGCTGGCCAGAGTGAATATCAGATGGAAGAATGAATATGAGTAACTCACTGGTTGTGCTTCGCTTTCTCCTCTTGTAGCTTTAGTTCCAGACTCCAGCTCTTCAGATCCACCCAGAAGAGGCTTCTTGTTTACTGTAGAAACCACATATTTCAGGAAGCATAACCATCAAATCACTTGGGGAAAAAAAGGATGAATATATTTTTCAGCATTGCGAATATATCGCTCTTTTTTAAAGTATATGCCACTGAATTTGTTTTTTTTTTTTTGTAATTCGGTCATGTACCTGATCTGGGAGAAGATGGGGGTGAGAAAAAAGCAGTTGAAGAACCGGCACGGAGAGCAGAGTACAGAACTGAGAGAACTGTGGTAAGCATCCCGAGAATGAGGGTACTGATAGTTACTGCTTTTGATTTGTTGGGAAGGCCATTGCACACATAATCCCGAGGTTCGCTAGAGAGCCCCGTGTAGCACACATAAGCACAGTATATTGATATCACGGAGGCAGGCAACAAACTTCCATTTACCTGCTCATGACACAGATTAACCAACAAGGGAGAGGACTGTTTAGTAATTTCATTAAGGAGCAGCATGCATAACTTGTGCTGCAATGAGATCCAATGAATAGAAAACAAATGATCCCATTTCTTGCTGCTTTAATCCTTCCCAAACCACACACACACACACACAGCATTTCTTCATAAAACAAAATACTAAAGTGTGTGTTAAGGAACCAACTCAACCAAAAGCTCAAGCTATGGTTGAAGACCCATTGTTAAAATTCCGGCGGGCCGAGAACAACGGATAGAGTGTTGGGTAAAATTAACCACTTGCATATAAAGTCGGGATCCACAATTCTAACCCAAAAGCTTAAGCTGATAGGTAGGGCTTCACCCTTCAATATATGCAAGTGATACTCATCTTTATTTTCCGATGTGGGAACTCCAACACCCATGAATGTTTTTATCTTCTAAGACGCCCCCTCACGTGCAGACTAGATTTGTTTAATCAAGCCTTGCATGTGAATATTAATTTTTTTGGAAGTAGATGGCGGTGAGATTCAAACTCTTTCTTATTTTAGATCTAAACAAGTTGAGAAATTACTTGTAAGCATTTCTAAAACACTAGTGCTAGTTCTTATCAAACTAGTACTACTTGATTCAGGTATTTTCACAATACCAATAAAATAAACTCGCATCAAGTATGAGTTGGTGGTGATCACGATAAGAAACCAACTCAGTCAAAAACTCAAGCTTGTGGTTGAAGACCCAGAAATGTTTTTATACTCTAGGTGTAAGCATGTGCAGGAGACCAAAGCTTTTAAATGTGGTAACCAACAACAACAACATTACCCCAGTGCCTCAAAGGCTCCCGCCCGTTGCGGGGTAAGGGAGTCGGATGTACAAAGTCTGACCCCTATGTCTAAAACATAGAGCAGTTGTTTCCAGGTGATCCATGAGAAGTGGCGAAAGTTGCAATGACTAACTGCTTCTTCACTGTTCAAAGAAGTGCAGACACTTCAAAGAGCCATTTTGCTTTATTCCACCATACTCCAAAGCCAAAATAGTGAATTTTTGGCTCCATCGGTGATGATGGAAACCTCTTAAATGTGGTAACCGATGAAAGAAATAGCTATGCAGAACTGTTTCTAACCTTTGGGTGCAAGGCAATAACAGCAAACAAAAATGCAAGAATCATAGTCATGACTATGAAGAATACATTTAGCCCACAGTCATTTCCAGAAGGATTGAACCAAATAAACAGAATGCCTGAAAATGCATATGCTGCTAGGTAGCAGGCCACTGACACAACAAGTAAAGCGATAAACCTGTTGAAGTATGTTGAATAGTAAAATATTACATAGTTGTAATTACTAACAAATCGTGATCAGAATCATTAAAAAACATAAACTTACCACTTCCGTTCATCCTTGGCAACCCATGAGTCGTTCCATGAGTGTGTGGCGTCCAATAAAAGCATTACTTGAATTACAAGAAATATACCCGCACCAAACTTTGAAACAATTCCTGCACGTGGAGAAAGAATGAATACATGCAAGGCAAAAATCTTCATTCTGAGTGCATGTTGCAGATTCTAAGAGGCCTGACCCACATAAAACTCCTAAGGCCTAAGAGAAAGCAAGTAGAAATCACATGAAATGGCATATGGGATGAGGGTGTATTTGTCTTTGCTTAGACTTTTGAAATAGGTGATTGCTTTGAACAAATAATCTAAAAGCACGTCAGAGCTGCTTCTCAACATCTGCTTCTGACAAAGAATCTGAGAATCATGCAACAAAAGAACTACCAAACATGACCAATTTGCTTGTATCCAATGCAAATAATTACAACCAACCCACAAGTGCCAAACATCCTCATGATTGTATTGTTGAGATCAGCGCACAACGAAAAATATGAATAAAAATCAACATATATAGATACGTGCTGCTTCTCCTACAGGGCTACAAGATAAATCTTTTGATAGAAAGCCATATCTTAATACAAAAAGGTATTTACTTAAAGTACTTTGTGCACCCTTTTTATTTACCATATTTCTATTTCTATAAGAAGACATCTCTACTTTCAAGTATGGATAAGGTCTGCATACATTCATCCTCCCCAAACCCTACCTTGTATGGAATTATACTATGTTTTTGTTGTTGTTGTTGTATTTCTATACCGGGTCATCCCAAAATTCTTTCAAGCTCCTTCAAATGACAAAAATATGTGGCTGATATTGATTCATATAAATTTGATGCTACAGCGGTTGCTTTTGAGGTTGAGAGCCGGGCTCGGGCTCAACCTTGGAGCAGTTAGTAGGTCAGATATAATGGGCCAAACCCATCACCAAGGAAGGATGAAATACGTAACACAAACAATCATATCACTGACCGTAAACATTGACGATAGCGTTTGGGAGGAAAAACATGAGGATGATCAACACAACCCAAGCAGCAAACTTCAAGACCCATCCACCGTGATGCAAGGAATCACGCCTATCATTTTGATATTTCACTCCAATCATAATAAGAGCAAGAACTCCAAAAAACAAGAAGTTCCCCAAGCTTACACGAAGTACTGCTTGCATTTGATACCATTCATCCGGGTGGCTGCCTGATTTGTCTATCCCTGAAATTTCACCACATGTATTAAGAAAAGAAAAATACAAGCTTTAATTCAGGTAAATAAACTATCAATAAGGATTTGTTGGACTTGTCTTACATCGCCTAAACAAACTCCTTATTAAAATCTCCCTATCCCACTATTTTTGGTACATGAGAGTGGAAAGGAAATAATGAAAAGTAAGATGGTTGATATTGACGTTAAAAAACAAGTAATTAAAGTAAAAATGAAGGTGAACTACATAAACATGATGACCAAATATAGCATGAGACAAAATTAGTATGACGAACAAAAAAAGGTAAAATGAAACAAACATTGTAGGACTTAGGGAGCATGAGTTAAACCTCAACTCTTGAAAGCTCTTGTAGGTTGAGTTAGGTCCAATATGTGTTATAGTAAGCTCTTTTGAGGTGAATTAAACCCAATATTTATTTATTGTTCACGAACTTAGATTATCAATCTCAATAAATAAAAAACACTTGCTAATATCATTCAATAGATGGTTAAATAAAAAATAAAAAAACCAAGAATTATAAGCCCTAGCCCCTAATTAGTGAACTAATTAAATGAATAATCAAGGAAAAAGGAAGGAAAGAAAAAGGGAATTAGAGATACGAACAAGAGAAATGCTTGAGGAGTGGAGGGGCGAATTGTCGGAGAAGCCAAGAGACAACCAACGAGAATCCGAAGATGAGACAGTAACCTAGCCGAGCAGAGCGGCGGCTAATCCCGGACGCCACGGAGGTGCAGACACCGCACGTCAAGGACGCAAAGCAAGATGCCAAACACGACATAGCTGAAAGCTCGAGCTGGATTTCCGAGGTCAGGGGAAAATCGTTGTGCAAAGAAGCGAGGTTTTGGGCTCTCTGGGCAAAAGAATCTTCACGAAGAAGAAGAAGAAATGCAGAGATTTTTTTATTTCCATTTAATTTTAACAAATTTTTTTATTTTAATTTAAGTTGGTTGGACACTTTATTTGAGTAGCTAGAGTCACAAATAGGGATATAAACAAATCAAATATTTTAAATTCGATTCGCGATTCGTATTCGAATATGATGATTCGAATTTGCGTTATTCAAATACAAATTCAAATTCAAATATTATTTTTGATTCGAATATTAATCAAATACAAATACAAATATGGATATATTCGATTCGGATGATATTCGAATATATGTATATATACACAGACCATGTTTTCAACATCAAAAGTCAAACAAAGTAATATAGTATAAAGTGTATTTAAATTCTAAGAATTCAATAAATTAACGTAACACGAAAATCTAAAGCATATAATTTTTAATAGTTATATTTTATAAAATATAATTTGTGTAAGATGCAAATGTATTAATGTTTTTATATACGGAATATAGTATAGTATAAAGAGTATCGTAAGTTAAAATTACAAATTATGTTGGTCCATCATATAAATTACATAGTATGATTATTCAAATATTCGTTTATGATTCGATAACTATTCGAATATTAATCAAAAACTTATTCAGATCTTATTTTGAATTCGTCTCATATTCGGATTCGGATTCGTATTCGAAAAAATTAAACAAATACAAATTCAAATATATCGATATTCGCTTCGATTCGATTCGTTTACACCCCTAGTCACAAATAAACAGTTCGACCTTTTTAATACTTTCCTAAGAATAAGATGCATACAAATAATAAAAGATATTTTATTTTAAAAACCACAAAAGACAAGTTTGTGAACTAATATATATTTGTGACTCTAGCATTTTCCACTTTATTTAGCATATTCTTTGGTCAACCACTAGATGTAATTTTTTTTAGTATACGAGATGTTAAATTAATCTAAGCAAAGTGAAAATATGGTGTTACATAAGTTTGCATATTATTCTTTAGGCATGTTATTTTAGAAATATTTGCACTAAATAGCAGTCCCAGACCCTACTGTAGTGGGATCCAACTGGGTTGTTGTTGTTGTTGTTGCACTAAATAGCAGTAAAACTTAAGTCATTTCCATAAATAGCATTTAAACTGTTTTATTTCCTAAATAACACTTAATAATGTCCATAATATTTAGTAATAGTTGACATTTTACTTGAATAATGACTAATGGATAAGGACTGAAAGTGTTACATTGGGGAAAAAAACTTATGTGATGTTATTTAGAAAAAGTCATTATATTTTAGTGTTATTTACGTAAATTCCTCGTTCTATTATTATATTTTAGTGAAGTTCTTTTTAATTAGCATATTCAAAAAAATATGCAGTGACTTGACTTTTTTTATGATATGATAAATGAAAATTCATAAAACAAATGAAAAAAACCTTATTTCGAAACGAAAAATAATTATAGTGTACCTTAAGTTTGACATCACATTCTTATAGACATTACAAATATTCAAGATTGTTTCTTTAAATATACGTGAAAATTGTGGAGTAAGAATTGATGTTAAACTTAAGAAATCACGAGTATGATTCGACCAACGTAGAATAACACTCGTAATTCTTCAAAAAAAATCTTGTTTTTTAGCATCGGTAATATTTGATATGCACCAAAGGCAAAGTTCTTATATAAGTCTTATCTATTAATTGTGTCTTTGATGTAAAAAAAATTAATAAATGCGGGTGTTAAGTTTATACACGATAATCTTCGTATATTTCAATGTAAAGTACTCCTTTCGTCCCAATTTAAATCGGATGTAAGATCTATAAAATTAGTGGTGACATGATTATATTACTTTATCAAATTACTAACAAAATAGTGAAAGAAAGTAAATAAAATTTGACCACTTAAATTATAAATATATAATTTAAGTTGGGACAAAAAAGTACGTAGTATATTATATTGGTCTTGCTTCATAGCATTGAAATTCGTTAGGTAATGTTTTCTTCTTCGTATTTTTTTGTCTTTAGAAATGGTATCCAATTTGTGAAAAAAGTGGGAAAAAAATTAAGAACGAAAGGAGTAAAAAATTAGTCATTTCCTTTGATAGTTCAGAGAATACTCCCTCCGTCTCATTTTATATTGTTCATTTTGACTTTGAATCATATTTAAGAAAGAGAAAAAATGGCGTTGATTTTTTAAAAATGTGTTACTTTTTTTACGGAAGTAGTGATGAATGAAAAGATAAGATTGGGATAAGTGACTTATTTTAGGCATAATTTAGATATTTTACCATTAAAAATTTATTATTAAAAAAACAGATAACTTATTTTGAAACGGACAAAAAAGAAAAACAAGCATTTTAAAATGAGACAGAGGAAGTAGTATACAAGCAAGTAATTTATGGGCAAGTATCATGTCTTGATAAATGTTTTTGAAGACAATTGTCCTACTTTAATTTTATAAAGGAATATGTGATTTATAATTTTTTTTCTTTATTTTTAACAAATTTCAACCAGCCACCAATTTAAAGGCATAATTTATTGATTGAATTTATTTTCAATCCAACTTATTTTAAAACTAGAGTAAAAATAAAATAAATAAAATCAATAAATTTAAAAATCAAAAAAATATACTCTGTAAAAAAAAGTTGTGGCATGACAATATTATTCAGTCAAACTATCGGTGAAAATGTAAAGAAAAAAGGTGCAGAGTACAGATAAATTGAATAGTGATTGTATCTTTTATTTTGGGACAAATGGAGTAGATGAAAAAATACATTTATAGGAAAAAAATACATAAACATAAACCCCCTTCAGACATTATTTTTATTTTTCTTTTTCTATTTCAGTATCATTTCAACATGGGAAAATGTGAAAGACAACAGAAGAGAGGCAGGTGTAGTACAGTACATATTCACACATAATCGGATCTCAGTAAAATTTGGATTCTGGTCAAAATTTGCAGGGCCTCTACACAATGTGACTATCTTTTTTTTTCTGTGCAAGTCTCAGAAGATTCATTGGTAAACATATTAGTGTTGTTCATCTCACTTGTTCCCAAGAAGAGGCTCGCCGAGATGTCCTTTCCTTGAACCAGAAACATCGTCATTGGACTTTTTCGGTGTCTGTCCTGGTCTACTTTGGCCTCCCTGCGTTGTTCAAAACGAATCAACAAGCCGGGCCCATGCAAGAGTAACCCTTGTATTCACCGAAGTACTCCCTCCATTCTATATTAACTATCTAATAAAGCATTCTTGATACATTGAAAAGTGAATGAATGTAGACACACCTTATGTCTATGTTCATTTGTTTTTCAATGTACCAAGAATGTCTGATTAGACAGTTAATACGAAATGGAGGGAGTAATAAGCAACCCAAACAAACCCGGTAACCCCCCCCCCCCACCACCACCACTCAAGAGTAGGATCTGGGGGGACAACAAACAAACCGCATGCAATGATACAAAAGTAGGGTCCGGAGAACGTGTGTGTACTCGGACTTTACCCCTACTCAGAAGTAGAGGACAAATAAAAATGCCCACATGGAGTCACGAAGGACAAAGATGCATGCAAACATTACCCCCACCTACCCTAAGAAGTAATTTTCTTTATGAAAGGACCCCCACAAACAGTGACATGAGGAGTGAAAAAATAACTCACATAGCATCTAGGCCCTGTACAAGGATCCTAAAATCCTAGTACAAAGCCTCTAGGAGCTCCTATTAGAGGTAGAGTTATGCTTGGGGTACACAAGGTTAATTCAATTAGAGGTAGAGTTATGCTTGGGGTACACCACGGATGACACCGGCTAGTGTGTTACTGACAATGTCTCACAAAATATTATTGCATGTGTGATTGTCTCTAAGAGTGCGAGCCTTGGTGTCGTGACTGGGGTTAAAGTAGCAATTTCCCAGAGGTAATGCCCCCACAGAGATTTAAGAATGTGAGGTTCAAACTCTAATGGTCAAATAGTGAAGTCTTATCAACAACAGTAAAGCAATCGCATGAAAGAGTGAGACACTGCCTAAATGCCACCCTGCTGTAAAAATTCCCACTTAGTCCTTGTCTAGGCCCACTATGCTTCCGGAATACCAGATTGATGCTTTTAGGGCAGTGCTCTTGAAACTATTTCATTCTTTTTTTTTACGTTTCGTGATTAAGGGCTCATTTGGTAAGGGTACCAAGCAGCTACTTATTCTGCTAATAAGCAGAGTTAGTCAGAACTGGGTACCAAACAAAGCCTAGAACTAAGGTAAAACCACCAAGGTTTAGTTCTTTGTATGGCAAATACAAGGGGTTATCATTGGCAGAAGATAATAAATACGCTTATAAAAGATTTTCTTCCATGCGTAGTAGTAAAAGATTAGATGCTTTTGAATATGGTCAAGGCATACCAAAAAATGATGGGACTTAAAAAGGTCACAACTCACACCAATATCGAACTGGGCCATTAACTTTATAAAGGAAGGAAAATATCTGCACTTACAGCTGCCTTTTGGGCTGTCAGCCTCCGAGTCGATGGAGCGCGTGCCATTGATGAAGCAGCAGCTGCTGCTGCCACACGTATCCTGCAACATCAAATAAATTTTACATTTTTTACTGCAAGTATAATTGATTGGTATAAAATGTTTTTTTATTTTTATTCGACGTGAACTAATGTTGCAAGGATTGAGCACCTTTTATGTACGTCAACATACTCATCTGTCTCATCCACTATTTCCTCCTGCATCATTTTGGAATTTTAGAAAAGTAACTATACCCCTAGCCCCAACCCCCCAATAATGAAATAGCTCTAGGCATTGTTTGTTTCCAAGAAACTTAGTATGGAATCATTTATAAGAGAATAATGTTTTGATGGAAAAAGTTGACCTGCATTTAGTATAATATTTGAAACACAAAGATGCAACAACAACCTACCAAGTATAGACCCACAAGTGGGGTATGAGGCAAGTGTATGCAAATCTTACCTCTGTGAATCTACCTATAAAAGATAAAGAGACTACGTCATGTTCTTTTGCAATTATTTTAAATGGAGTCTGGAGGAGTATAGAGTTTGGAAGCTGGAGTTTGGAGTCTAGAGGCTGAAGTCTGGATACGTTACTAAATTTAATTAAAATTAGAAAATTGAAGTCAAGAGACGAGAGTGTCTAGAGTCTGAATAACTGGAGTTAAAAGTTGAAAACAACATGCCTTAATTCTAAGAGCCTCTCGGCTCCTATTCAATGCCTGTTAGATCAGTCCAACAAGCAAAAGTAAAGGTAAACTAATACGAGAGAGAAAATGATTTCCTGTATTTGTAAGGAAAAGCGGCAAAAGCCATTTTCCACAAAAGTTCAAATACAAAAATATTTTTAGTGTGAAAATCTTTCTTGGAAAATCTTTTCCTGGAAGCAAACAGGGCCCTAATGGGAATTAAATGGACCAAAGCAAACCTGCAAAAGCTCCTCAAACACGTCCTCCAGGGTGATGATGCCAATCACTTCACCGTCCTCAAGATCCTCTGAGGGCTGAGGCAGGCCATTAGTTTCGATATCAACCACCACAGTATCTGACTTCCCATCCTTCTTGGAGAGCAAAAGAGTGTTTAACTCAGGATTAACATCCGTGTTTGCTGTCTCTTCAGGTTGTTTATTATCTACTGATGGAAGGTTTTTACTTTTTCCTTTCACCTTCACTACAGCAGCCATGTGACTGCTACCTTTCTGAAACTCGTTCAATATGTCATAGAGGGGCATATCTGAAGGAACCCTGTATATATATGCAGATAATAATATATCATGATTTTGGTATAAACCATAAAAGCAAACAATAAAAGACTAAATACAAACCGTGGAATTCTCCGGATTGAAACAGCACTAACTGGGGTCTCAGTTTCAGCCCGCACAGTAAGAAGGCTTTTGACCTAACATTGCAACAATATATGCGTTAAATTGTGCCTGACACATCCCAAAAGGACCTAAGGCTTACTTCACACCTATATATTAGACTCAAACTGAGTAGACAGTGATGTAGCATGCTCAGCACATGCCATCCGCGGCTCCACCTGGCAGATAAATGGGCCCAAACCAAACACCAGATGGGCGGCCCTAAACCATCAAGTGGGCAGATGCCCCACAAACAACTGCCGAAAAAAAGGGTCTGATAGCATTCTTGGCTGTGATAGCAAGTTAAAGTGGGTCTAACTTAACCCAAAACAATCCGCAAAAGGGTAAGATTTACCTCACAATTATATATTCCTAAGCTCTATTAGACAACTTATGTGGAATACTCAATAAAGTAAAGAGTGAAGACATGAAAAAACACACAAGGTTAATATGTTTATGGTTCAAAACTGTTCTGAGGATTAAGAACTCACCAGCAGAAGCCCAATAACATTCTTCGGATTGCCGGAGTAGACAGGGACTCGACTGTGACCTCGAGCAAGAATTTTTCCCATTGCTTCCCTAACATGGGGGAAAGACAAGAAAAAACAAGAAGATTCAACAGTCTTCCAGCTGTCCACTAGTGGAAGGGGTTAACCTTTCTTTTAAATATATATGGATACTGCACAGGACAAAACAGAATTGTTTCCGGTAAGGGGTCATCTTATTTATGAAAGGGAATAATCAGCAGCTAAACTCCATATAAATAAAACCCGAATGCATAGAACAGGATAT